GCAGATTGCCCCCTCGAGGACATCGCGTGCGTGCTCTTCGCCCAAACAAACAACGCATAGATCGCGTGTGTCATCGGGTGTCAAATAGCGATGGCACGGATGCACAAATCTTCTAAACGCTATACTAGTGCTCGCCATAATGAATGAAAGAGATCGCTCTTACCACGGAAATGCACGCTTCAAACAAAACAGTCAGTGAAGACGAAGAAGAGAATGATGTGTTCTCCAGATGCCTATTTATACTAAAGTCGCACCGGTAGTGACGTCATGGCTGTCGCCGGCCAACGTGTTGTTGGTGTTTTTTCAATGTATGCTTCAGACACGGGTCACGACAAGGCGTTCCCCATAGCGACCCCTAGAGGACGCAGTTCGAAGTTCCCATGAAAGGGAACCTTGATGTTCTCTTGATGTGGTCACCGGCAAGAAAAATGAAATATCTTTATCTGCACAAGATAAATCATGCAGATTTATGAATATTTGCATTGCTGTTACATCATCCTTGATATAGTATATAATCACATCATCGTATCTGTTTACTGCTTAGTAAAGTTTAAATGATGGACATAACGTCATTAAGTGCAATATACACAACTTACTGTAAGATAAAAGCTGACAAACGCTTAATAATGTGTTTTTTTCTTTTCTTTTTTTCTAGATTGATACAATAAATTCAAAGCATCAAAGACAAAGATTAAAAAGACAGATTCAAATACTCAACTATTTATTTTTTTAGGTTTTGTTTTGATTTAAGTACAATACTTTTGAGTGAGTGAGTGTGTGTGTGTGCGTGCGTGCGTGCGTGCATGCGTGAGTGAGTGTGAATTTTATTTTTCCAAACTAAAATTTCAATAACCATATTTTTATCCTATAGTTGTTGGATAAACCTGTGAAGGTCACACTTTAGTTTTGGGACCAATTCTCACTATTAATTAATGACTTTTGTCTCAATAAACTCCTAATTTGCAGCTTATTATTACTGTAGTTAGTAAGGTAGCTGTTAATTTTAGGTATTGGGTACAATTAAGGGTTCTAAAATATGCAGAATAAGGCATTAATATAAGCTTTATAAGTACTAGTAAACAGCCAATATGCCAGTAATATGCATACTAATAAGCAACTAGTTAATAGGGAGAATTGGTCCCTAAACTAAAGTGTTAGTGAACACAAAGTCATACTAACATACTGTATATTCAACTATACTATATAATGAATGCAGTATTTTTGTAAGTTATTCATAAATTTTGTGTTTTTTATATTTTACTGTAAAAATGTTGTTAAATATATAAACTATGCTGAACATACCCTTTTGACTCCTTCTGAGGCCATTACATAAAATATTTCCATCACACTTTTTTATTTTATTTTCTTAATATTTTCAGATTTCATTTGAAATTTAGTTTATTGTTTTATTTTATTCAGCTTTAATTCAGTTATCAAAAACCGTTTCAATAGTTTTAGTTAATGATAATAACCCTGCAGCATACTTTGAAATAACAAATGCACCTCAAACAGAGTGCACAGATTCATTCAATTTGTGTGAATTTGAAATTGGGTCCAAAAACTGTATATTAAAACATCATCAGTCATCATCCATGTCATCTCACATGAGTAGCAACATTCTGCTGATAAGAACATCACAGGTTGCCAAATACATATTATAAAAAAATGAACAATGATAATTTATCATTGACGTTAACTTTTCCAACAGATAGTGTTAACAGTATACTGGTACAGCTAATTCACACTAATTTTAATAATCCATTACACTGATTGTCCTCACACAGGACTGTAGTGACTTAACTGTAATTTAAGTCGTTAAAAGCCCAAACTTCGCATATCTGGCATACCTTTTAATAACCTTATTTCCTAAAAAAAAGGGTAATGAACACTGATTAAAGTTGCACCGATTACATGAAACACGTCAAGCATATATATAAGACATACAACATATTATTTGTGAATATATTGCCCCGATACTTTTCAATGATTGTCAATGATTGTCTGTGTACGTTTCATTTCTTTGTCTGTGACAAAAGGAGTTTGTAAGGGTTTCAGTCATGCAGGAAGCAGATGGTCAAACAGTCATGTGGCGTCACGCTGTATATCCCGTGCTTGCAGGCCCGAGGACGTGATTAAATTACTGTCCTTTTCCTGTTTGGATGTAATAGTTCTATTCATTGGTGGTTACAAGACATCGTGGTTTCTATATGTTGTGAACGAACCTTTTCAGTCCTGATACAAAAAAGCTTTGTTGTCTCCTGTTTGGATTAATCTTTAATCACTCCTCTGAGTAGATGACGACAAGACTGGCAGGAAGTCGACCCAGAATATTGGAGTCATGTGCTGGGGGTGATTAGTATAGATACCTCATGATGGCTGATAAGGGGGAGATCTTTAGATCCTTCTGTAATATTTCTGTTTCATAATTCACGTGGTGAATCCACAGCTTATGGGGGCCTGTTTCACAAGACAGAGACCTTACAGGACACATGCAATTGTAATAGAAAGACACGATACTAATCAAATCATTGTTCTAAACGAGCTCTGTCAGCAGGGTTGGTAACAGTGCCTACTACTAATTATTTGTATGCCTGTTATCTCTTCACACTAATCCACATAATACAAATGGATTGAGATGTGTCAGTGTGTGTGTGTGTGTGTGTGTGTGATGACTCATCCAGAAGGTGACTGGTCTTTTTGATTATGTACCAGTAAGTACTATTAAAGTTGTTCATTTTTACACATGCACACAAACAAGCAAACATATGTTAAGTATAAGAGGACAAACCACAAACATATCAACAAACTCTAGCACTAAAAAAAAAAGAAAAAAGATTTTTTTGTACTTTGTAAGCATTTTTAATATAGGAATATGATAGGAATACTCCTCAATACAAACAAACCAGCAAATGCAAAGAAGCATTTAATGAATCAATTATTGTCCTAATGTTCCTAAAATAATTTTGAGGAAAAAATGCATGTAAAATCTTAAATGATTATTATCAGTCTGATTTTGATTTGTAAAGCCTTGTCAACAGAATTAAAGTTGAAGGTTGGCAAGTTCAGATATCTTTATGACACGTTATGCTGTTCTGAAGCAGGTGCTGTAAAAATGGAGTAAAAAGCTAAAGTCTGGTGACATTTTGCTTATCACATTTTAACTGACATGGTAACTTGAACTTTTTTTTTTAACTCAGTATACTAGAATGTGAAACAAGATGTAGAAAAAGAATTAAATACAATCCACCTCAGCAGTTATACATGTCATCCACCTGACAAAATCCCATAATAATCCTGTATTTAGACCTTGCACCTGGACTGTGTTCTAACCACTCAACAAGTGTTATGCTTAAAATATCTCTCTTTTTCCTCTAATAGCTTTCATTGTACTTACAGTGTTAGGCAAAAAAGAAGAGTCCTCCCTCTCGTTGGTCCTTACACGCTTTCTGTTTGTTTCAAACACACATATATACACACGCATACGCACACACAGAGCAAAGCAGAGTGATGTGGAACAGCAAGGAAGCCTGGGGGTTTATCAGCCCTGCCACTGTTCAGACAGCCAATCAGAACGAGGCTTTCATTCAGAGCAACACACACAAGCAGAAGCAGGGCAAGAGGAGCTGATTCATAAGGAGTTAATGAGAACCTGTTCACTTTCCACAAACATTAATACAATTACAGACATACAGACCAATACACAGACACACAAATGATATCACTTTGAATAATATTTTTTAAATCAATAATAGCATATACCAACTGAAACAAATATTTTACACTTGAAATGTATGAACTACACAGATTATCTTTAGTTGTCTCCTATCCTATGTCTTAGCCGTCAAAATGAACTGTTATTTTGCAGTTATTAGGGCATCTGAAGTGCCTCTGTACAGTTTACAGCTATTTCATTTAAATGACTCAACAATATACCAATAATATATTGTATTATGGAATAAATGTGTTTTCTTGTAAAGTTAGTCATTAGATCTGCATTAGGTCACAGGTTTCCCTCTCACATCTTGAGTGAATTAGCTCTGGAACCAAAGAACAAAAACTGACTATTTGAGTGAAAACCTATCCACAAAAGCCACATGTTGAAAACATCCATCAGGACTAGCCTTGCATTTAACAATGTATGTTGTCAATAAAACCATTATACAAAAATAAAACCTTTAGCGATGAAACACAGATACTATAATTGCATGTCTGCCAAATCTCACTGCCAAATTGTTTAAAGTTTTCTACTTTTTTTACCCATCAAATCTCAAACTCAGAAAATTATTTCAAATAATAAAAGTAATTATTCTCTAACAGTGGAGCATAAACATAATATATCCCTACAAGTCATGAATGGGTTAAAGCCCCTCCCTTAAGAAAAATGTGTCTGGTTTCTAGTTCCCAAGTGTTTGGTAATAAAAATTCAATTACATTTTTTTTTTTAATAGGCCTATTAGTATTACAGTTCAGAGCAAAACACATTACTCTTAAAATCAGTCTTCCGCTGATACTGTAAATTGACACAGCTAGCATTTATAACTTAAAATGCTGGGGGCTCAAGACTGACTGACTGTAATTACTGAGCATCTATATAACTCACACAGTCTCTGTCAATCACAGTGCCTGTCACTTTAAAATGAAAATTGGTCTGCGCCAGTAACCTCGCGGTTAGTGCTCTGACAGACAGCGCAACTGTACTCATGGCGACCCAAGTTTGAATCCAGGCTCGTGGTCCTTTGCCGATCCCGCACCCCTCCCTCTTCATCCAATGCTTTCCTGTCTACTCTACACTATCCTGTCCAAATAAAGGCATAAAAAAGCCCATAAATAAATTTAAAATAAATCTAAAAGTGCACAGTTACTCTTGTCACAGTGACAGATATTTACATTTGTGACCCTGGACCACAAAACCAGTCATAAGGGTCAATTTTTCGAAATTGAGATTTATACATCATCTGAAAGCTGAATAAATAAGCTTTCCATTGATGTATGGTTTGTTAGGATAGGGCAATATTTGGCCGAGATACAATTATTTGAAATTCTAAATATTGAGAGAATCGCCTTTAAAGTTGTCCAAATGAAGTTCTTAGCCATGCATATTACTAATTAAAAATTAAGTTTTAATATATTTACAGTAGTAAATTTACAAAATATCTTCATGGAACATGATCTTTACTTAATATCCTAATGATTGTTGGCATACAAGAAAAATCAATAATTTTGACCCATAGAATGTATTTTTGGCTATTGCTACAAATATACCCTAGCGACTTAAGACTGGTTTTGTGGTCCAGGGTCACATTTTATATAAAAAGCTTGAATACTGTTCAGGATGTACATGAGATTTAGATTTAATTTTCAAACAGGGGAAAAATAAACTTTTTTGAGGATGATTGAAACGGTTTACTATTTATGAGATTCTCTGCCCTCTAGTGGAAATTAACATGGCTTGCATCATGCAACAGGTGATTCTACACACAACAGTACAACATGTAGTTTTATTGTAGTGTAATATCTGCTGAGCATGTAACATTTAGAACCTTTATGAGAAGTACTCACTGTTGTGTATCTGTGTAGCTAGTTAGTACAGTGACTGCAGTCCACATTTGAGATGCAGCAGAACTGTTACAAAAGTCTATAATTACATTGTTGCATATTTCTTTTTAAAATATTCCAATTCATTTTGTTAACTTAATACACATTTTAATTTCACATTCCACATGGCCATATAAATGATTTGTACTGTTGATAAGATTAAATAAGAATAGATTAAACTTTCAACGTAATAAGTAAATGTAGTAAATATTTATCTTGAGCTAATACCAGTTTTGTAAATTATATATTTATATTCATATTTAATATTTCTGGAATTCTTTATAACTATTTAACCCATTTTTAAGCAAATCATTTTTAATTAATTAATATTAAGAAAACATAAATCATTTTATGAATGATGAATTATGTAAATAAACTGCCTCACCTAAAGCAATGCTAAATTAAACTATCGTTGCTAAGATTCTTGAAGGGGTTCGGCAAAAAATCTAAGATATTACAACTTTGTCACATGTTCCCTTATAAGTAAACATATTACAAAGTCCTACAACACAAGTGAAAAGTGCTAGTCACTTAATGATATGAACATTGTGTGTGATGTTTGCTTGTTATGATAATAACAATTATCATATAGCAATGAATTAATGTTTTATTCTAAACAGAATATATCAGTCCCTTCTTTGTACAAAAATACCTGAAAAGGTTACAATTAGAATTTGTAAGCCATTCAGCTAATTACAGAACCAAGCAGAACAGATTATCAACACGGAATCTGAAAAGAAGAAACCTTTTTTCTATGCATGTTTTTGTTTGTTTGTTTGTTTGTTTTTCATTCCCTGAAAGACATAGATTCATATTTACTTCTATTTTACTTACACTTATGGTCATGATATTTTTTTTGCATTGAGAAAACATATGCAAAGCTCAGGAATTATTACTGACAGTTGCGAGAAGGTTCTGATTATGGCATGAATAAAGTTACAGAAGTTGCTTACATTACAGCTTCCATGTTACACATGTTAGATGTTGTTATGACTCATGACAGTAGCAATAATTAAAAGCAGATCCACAGAATCACACATTAGGTTAATTACAAATCACTATTTATGTATAATGCAATTACTCTGTAACATGAACAGTGTAATCAAAAGCATGACCTCCTCTTTCATCAGAAATGATAATAGTGACAAATGGTCACAAATTCCAGATCAGTAACCATAACCTGAGTAGGAACACCCTCTCAGGTCGACATTAGTGAGGAGAGAGAGGATGGACCGTAGGGTTTTGAGGCACCTGATGTACATAATTTTTAAAGGAATAGTTCATAAAAAAAAAGAGTGATATAGCAGAATGACCAAGCTGCTCTGTTCCACTGAATTCACTGTAATTTTTAGACGAACTATCCCTTTAAGAAAGGGTGGAAGCTATGGTCATCACACACAAACTCATCACACAGTCATTGCAGTCAAAACTAGAATATCTTGAAGGCCGGTGATTCATTAAGAGAGAAAGGGGGGTGGGGATAATGGAGGTCTGGTGTGGTCAAAGACTCAATAAAAAGAAGTACACCGTTAGTTTAATAAAAATAAAAATACAGAGAAGAAGTCTTGCTGGTCCACAGGACCAGTTTAAAACAGCCTCCACTTCAACCCTGAGCAACCCAGTTACATTCATTTCTTTTAAATATAAAAAATTACATTTATTTCTTTCACTGATAAACCCTCATCAGATCACACACTTTGCAAATGCTGCTACCAGCTTCTTTCAAACAACATTGGGGAAAATGCAAAAAAACAAATTTGTCTTTGATTCATATTAAAGAAACATTTCTACAATATCTACAAGGCATAAATTTGTTAGCGTTTTCATAATAAGTGTATTTGTGAGAATAAGTGAGTTTTTATAACAGCAATTTAGCTTAATAATGACCTTCAATGACTAAGAGTTCAAAGTCCAGTTTTCTGTCAGCTCAATGCAAACATAACATATTCTTTAAGGTCAATTAGCATGACAAAGCAACACAAAATAGAATATATTCAATATTTACACACTTAATCAAAGAATAAAAATGCACTAAAATAAGTCAAGTTTCTTCATTTTATATGCCATTGTGGAAAGAAGAAAAACAATCTGTATCCCAAAATTCAGTGTGGTATCTACAAACGTGTACATGTACAGTTATACATGAATGGAGTGTAACTATAAGCTGCATGTTACATGATATATGCAAAAACGAAACAATGTGGCAAATGAAATAAATCTGTACGGACAATGTGACGTGTAATGCATTACTGTGTTAACTTAGAAATGATGCCCCGAGTGTTTGGATTGTGAACAGAGTCAGACATCCTGCTCACACTCACTTTTAGACTGAACAGTCAACTAATTAACAAGTAAGCGCTAATGGTACTCAGACTACCCTACAGATCAATTGTACTCACACAGGTGATTCACCAGTAACATATAGTAAACTAGTCTTTAAGTAACCAACAACTTCCTCTCTGGCAAAAATCCAAAAATCCAAAAATTGTGTTTCTTTCTTTCTTTCTTTCTTTTTATTGTTTAATGATCTCATAAAAAACATATAACCTCTAAACTCAATACATCCATCTGTCTGAACCAGGTGGAAAAATTCCTGATATACTGTTACACTAGAATTATAGTATATCGAAACTGGTTGCAGAATATGCTAATTAATAGCATCATAATTGCAGTGTTGTTAGTTTAGTCCTTGGCTGGCTGATTGTATAGCTTATCACTTATCAGACCCTGAAAAATAAAGACAATAATGTCAAGTTCAGAAAGCTTGTGTGTGTATGCTTGTGCCTACACACACAAACTGCAACTAAATCAACACTGACACACACTCATCCTCAAACAAGGCTTGAATTAACTTAACTGACACTGAGAAAGATATTAAAGTGAATAATAATAATAATAGCGCTGATTTAAGCCCTGCTGTCTATTTCTGTGGTTAAATCATCCAATGAGATCTAAGTAGTACCTGGCAGACTGAGATCATATCCTTATTACACGGCTCTCTGAAATACTTGATTTTAATTAGGCAATCTCCTCATTGAAACATAATCAAATAGTTTCAGTAAATCAATATTACATGTTCATTTTTTAATGTTCTTTTTATTGGTAAGTAGCCGTGTAATAAGCAGCATAATGTCCAGTCAAAATAATCCCCCTTTGTATCAGGATTGACCTTAATTTTTTTGTGTGAAAGCCAGCTGATTGTATATTATCCCTTACTTAACCGAGATGACATGAATTATATGTATCTTAGAATGAACAAACAGCTTCATGTTACTTTGTGACATAATTAAAACGACTTTTTTTCATAGACGACAATAGGAAATTTGCAAAAATAGACCTTAATCGTGTAGACACCATCTAATGTGAATGGAAACAAAGCTGTTCAATGGGCTGCATTGAGCTGTCTTAATGCCTATATCATGTGTTAACTTGTGTTTTTGTCCACTGGAATTTTTCTCAAAAAGATGTGTTTTCAATATAGTGTCAGATTAACAACACAACACAACAGTACAACCCATTGAACAGGCTTTACTGACTCACCATAACTAAGGACTATGCAGATGGTGTTCTACAGAAGGATGTTGATGAATAATTAGTGTTAAACAGTTCAAGAAAGGGGGTCTAGTTAACTGAAGTCCAAAAATTCACAAAAATGTGGAAGAAAATTATTGAACAGCGCTGAGAAAAACAAATCTAAATTTCAAGTAATCAAATCCAGATAAATAAATAAATTTGTTGAAGCAATACTTAAAAATGATTGCATCATTTGCATTTATCTATGTACTTTTCTCTTGGGTGAACTTGTAGACATGGTGGCTATGCCCTTTCTATCTAGTTTAATACAATATAGGTACAAACTAAAAACATGGCTCTTTCGTTGCATTGCGTCACAAGTACAAAAAAATATCTTTACAAATCCGTTGTACCTACTGCTACCATGGACAAGGCAGATTATAAATTCGAACCCCATTTTTCTGTGGGTGTTCTTAGCCCGGGCTTCACAGTGTGCTGTCCTCGAAACAATCTTTCGAAACATGGAGAGACAAATAGAAAGTCAACAACAAAATAGACTGGAGCTGGGACTGAAGATGACAGCAGTTCTAAAGATTCCAGTTTGTTGTTCTAGCTCCTGATAGACTGCGACCCACAGCAGAGTTCCCAGCAGAGGGTTTAGTTGTTATTAATCACTGAACTCAACAGACTCCTCTTTAAAATCAAGGCACCGTTCCTAAAGGATGTGGTGGTGATGGCAGGCCATGTTTTTGTACTCTTGTTTAAAGGAATAGTTAATTCAAAAACTACATTTGGCCATAATTTTTTCACCTTAATGTCCTTCCAAAATCGTATGCTTTTTTTTTTTTTTTTTTCTGGAAGCGGATTTGAGTTAGACATAAGCTTGGCTTGCAGTCAAAATTTCAGATGCTTCCTCGCCTAATGTATCATATGGCAGTGTTTTAGTACTCAAGACTGGACTCTTGAGTTGTAATGCACACGGAAGCATTTGGACTTGGTCTTGACTCGGACTCAACTTTCTTACGGTCTCCAATACAATACTGTCATATGGCTTCAAAAGACTTGAATTATAGCGCATGCGCTGCATTTAATGGTTCATGGTGTTTTTTGTCCTGGAAACTAACAGCCGTGGTCTCTATGAACTGTCTATGTATGACATACATTTGCTTGGCAAATTTATCTTATTGTGTTCTAATAAAAATAAAAACAAACTTTTAAAATGTAATATTGTTTTGGTACAACAATAGGGTGAGTAAATAACCCAATTTCATTTTTGAGATTAACTATTCCTTGTAGGAGTGAAGGGACATGTCACTTCTTGGTATGGCCAGTAGAGAGCATTGCAGGTTATATTTTGTGAGGGGGAGAAACTAAAAAAAATAAAAAATTACACAAAAAAGAGGCCAAATGCATTACGCATGAGAGTTCTTTGCTCAAGAAAATGAGCACATAAGAAAAATAAGACAAGTGGCTAAATATTCTAGTGATTACCGGTGAAAATGATCGAAAGCATGAATTTAACGGCAATGTCTTTTCACAGTACTGAAACCACCAATCGGCTGTCCACATCTCACAGGACATTCTAGAATCAAATCTGCTTGATTTATGAAAGCAACAATTGCTATAGCTTGCTTGTTCCTGGTTCATGAGTGCAAAATGAAATCAAACGTGATTTACGAGTGTTCCGCTGGTCTTCACAAATCATTATCTGCACGATTAAGACCGCGGATCCTGAAGACTCCCTCTGGATGATTGTCCTGAGAACCTGCTCTGGCCACGGTCGAGTGTGCAGGTGGCTGAGAGGTTCATCAGCAGCTAATACACAAGCTTTATTTCCTTTATTTCTTGCTGGTCCTGTTTGTGTTTGTTGTTTTGATTTTCTCTCCTTGATAGCGAGCTTCTCTCGCAGTGTGCTTTTTCTCCAGCCCAGCAGCACAGCATTACACCACAGCACACGACGTCTGAGTGTTTGTCTTTAGGCGGAATCAGGCAAACGGAGGTCATAAGGCCACAGTGGTGCAGGGGTGTTTAAGTTTGCAAGGCAGAACTCCTCTGTTCAGCACGTAAAACTCCACCAGCTGGATCAGGTCCGTGAATTTGGTGGCGCCGTCATCAAGGCTCAAGAACATTTGACCGTCTTCTTCACACTGAAAAAAAGGAAGATTAGTCAAGTGATTTATATAAACCATTTTATATGTGCTGAAAACTTTTTATGCATTCTCAAATGTGTCAGGCTGCAATTTCATTTCATGCAATTTAAATACACATAGTATTCTAAACCGTCAGCTTCTACGGTGAGTTTTCTCTACTGGCAGAGCTACGGTTTGAAAAGATTCGTGCTGAGCATGTTAATTGAAGTCATGCTGACATGCTTATAGCAAGATACCTGATTAATAACACAGTTTAAAAGCTCAACCTTTTGAAGTTTAACTCTATCGCCCTCCTGGAGTATTGAGGTTTGTTACAGGCACAGCAAAGCAAGAATGCTTGTTATGTACAGCATGCTGTGCACTTGCAATGCATTGATCAAGCATTTGCATCTGCACTCTTATGTGGAGGAGGTTTCTTGTCTTTCACACTCATTCTCAGCAAGTTAAAGGTGGTATTCAATAAATCTAATGCATACTTGGAATACTTGAGAGTATTTTAAGGAATGCCAAATGTGCATCAGCATACAAAGTGAAAATGCTATATGTGTTCTGAGTGCAAGAAAATGATAAAATCTCACCGGTAAAATCTGGAAATGTTTGATTTTCTGGTGGTGACACAGTGTGAGTACAAACGCCTTAGGATTGCTCTGGCTATCCCTCAAGAGAAACATTCTGTTGCACAAAAGACAATTAAGTGTAAGTATATACTGCATAGAATCATCCAGAATGTTGTTGAGAATAACTAATGAGCTATGATATGTACCCATCCACTCTGCCCTGCTGATGGATCATCTTGTGGGACTCCTCCCGTGAAATACGACTGTGAAACCAAAGCTGAGTTCTGTGGATAACTGGATCAGAGGATATACAAAATGCCTTTAAAGGAAAGATGCCATTGAATGTGCACAGTATTCCATTGAAAACTGCTCACTTGTCTTAAACGCAAAAATCTTTCCTTTTTGCCTTGCCATCTCAGGAATAATTTGCATTATAAAGTATATTAAATTGGGTAACACTTTAAATTATAAAAATCATTCACAATTTTACTGTATTTTTGATCAAATAAATGTAACCTTGGTGATAATAGGAGACTTCTTTCATAAACATGATAAAGCATGATTAACTATTAATTGCTAGTGTAAATGCATGTCACAATAATGATAATAATCAACAAAAGACACTAATTAAACACTAGAAAGTACCTCCGCTTAATGATGAGGGGTGTAATGGGCTGGGGCTTCCTAGGATATTCATACGCTGACTTCTCTTCTGAAAAAAGACAGGGAGACATAAGCCACACAATCAACTTTAACATTTCTACATCATGCTAATTTGACTACAAGTTTAAACAGTAATTCAAGCATGTTACTGAAAAAAAATTCAGTTATTTTATTAATGTAAAATCTTGCACTAGATCATTTTATTTGTGTTGCCCTGGTAAACACTGCTTAGAAACATGATTCTTCTGTAATTCATCTAGATCATCATAGAATGTCTGGTAACTGCTGATCTGACAGTTGTCCAGAAGACAATCATTGACACCCTTCACAAGGAGGGTAAGCCACAAACATTCATTGCCAAAGAAGCTGGCTGTTCACAGAGTGCTGTATCCAAGCATGTTAACAGAAAGTTGGTACTTTCAGTTGGTACTAAGTTGGTACTACTTCAGACTGTGTGCATTTAATTTATTTAATACACGAGTTTCACAATTTGAGTTGAATTACTGAAATAAATTAACTTTTCCACGACATTCTAATTTATTGAGATGCACCTGTATATATAAAATCAAATAATTAAACAATCAAAACAAATATGATTATTGGAACTGACTCTCCAGGCATGTCCCTCTTCCATGGCAGCACTCTGAGCCTCCATGGGATTGTCAATCACTCGGCCTATCCTCCCTGAGAAATCCATGGCTACAAGAGAGTTCTCTGAGACACTCCTCTGGAAAAGAAGATCGGAAGTAACAATGACTGCCAATGAGTTTGCCATATTACAGATGTGTTGTATTTTGCTAATTATCTGGTCAATATCTAGTACATGTTCTAAACCAGTAAGTAATAGTCAAAACTTTTTAAGCATAGCATTAACATGGATGAATTGTTGTGGTTTGTTTCCTTATCATTTGTTTTTAAATGACTTATTTTTCATCTCTCTATTATTTTTTTTTTTAATTGTCAGCATTGCATAATATCCATAAGACAAGCTGTAATAATAACTTTACTGCCAACACTTGAACCATCATTCCGTAATGTGAGATCATGGCCCACATATTGACACATGTCTGATTAATGCTCCATCTGTGAGGTAGAGAAGAAGAGAGAGAGAATGCAGGAGTAGGTTAAGAGTGAGTATCTTACCACAGGCGCTGAGAAGTGTGAAAGCAACGTTTTTCGCTGCTGGGGGATCTTGTAATTTTGATAGAGTAAAATTCCATACTATAAGGAAGAAAAATTTAAAAAGTGTAAAAGAGTCAAAAAAGAATGATACTCTTTAACAAAACACCAGAATAAAACATTACGCCAATATACAGAGCTATTCATTGCATTTTCCTCAAAGTGAAATGATGCTGCCTGAATTCAGAAATGTGTTCGACCACAATGATAATTTGCTCCTCAAATATAATCTCACGACGGCAGTATTAGACGTAAGTGTAAGGTACACATTGCCATAACTGTATTTTAATCAATTTGCCCTTTTTTCTTCATTACACAACATAATGTCTTACACCATTTATGTCTGATGCATAGAACATCACTGCATTATGTCTGTCACAGATGCTCTAGATCAGTCCAAGAAAAATACTGTGCAGATGCTAGATCAGCCTGGAAAAGTGTGAGGGTTCTAGCTCAGCCAGCGAAAGAATGCAGATTCTAGATCAGGCAAGGAAAAGGTGCAGGTTCTAGATCAGCCTAGAAAAGAGTGAGGGTTTAAGGTCAGCCAGGGAAAGAAATGCAGGTTCTAGAACAGCTAAGGAAAGAGTGCATGTTATAGATCAATCAGGGAAAGGATATGGGTTTCAGATAAGCCTATAGAAAAGGGTATGGGTTCTAGATCTGTCAGGAAAAAAGGCTCAGATTCTGGAAAGGGTGCAATTTCTAGATGAGCCAATGAAAGGGTGCATATTTTAGAATAGCCAGGGAAAGTAGGGGGTTCTAGATTAGTCAGGGAAATCAGTAGTTTCTAGATTAGCCAAGGAAAGAAGATTTTAGATCAGGCAAGGAAAGGAGGGGGTTCTAGATCAGCCTGGAGAGGGTGAGCATTCTAGATCAGCCAGGACAATTTCACAGGTTACTGCAGATCAGTTAAGGAAAGGGTACAGATTCTAGATCAGGTGTGATCTAGATAAGTCAGGAAAAGGTGTGGGTTCTAGCTCAGTTAGGAAACGCTTAGGTTCACTGAAGAATGGAAAGGGTACAGGGTGCGCAGTCAGTTAAAAGTGGAGGTATCAGATCAGTCAGTGAAATTGTTCAGGTTCTAGATCAGTTAAGTGAAGGGTTATGGTTAAATACCATAACCAGGATAAGGATAATCCAAGGAAAGGGTGTTTGTTCTGGCTCAGTCGGGAAAAGGACTCAGGTTCCAGATGAAGGGAAAGGGTGCAGGTTCTAAATCAGCCAAGGAAAAGGCGCAGTTCCATCAGCTAGTGAAATGGGATTCCACTACCAACCTTGAAGAGTCTGAAGGCTGTCATCCAGCATGTTCTGCTCTGCTCGTCCTCTGCGCACAACATCCTCAGTTCTTTCACTTCATTCCTTACTTTGTTAGGCTGCAAATTAGCATAATGCACAACATTAGTCCCTCTGCTGACAAAACCTTTGTGAGATGTTTAACTGTGTTTTTCTACACATAATGTTTAAAGCTTTTTAGGCTGAATTTGAGTTGAATGTTTAACATTTAACTTTTCAGAGCTTATCTACTTTAAGAGTTCTCATAAAAGACCACATAAACTTACTTTTATGCAGAATTCAAAGTCATTCGGTGCATTGTGCAGCTTTCTCCCTGTTATTACTGTAAAGACATTGCTGTCCTCCAGGTCTGCTAGTAGCTGTAAATGCCTGGGCTCCTGTGAAAGATCAGTCAACAGCTCATGTCATTTAATGGATAAGGAGTGGAGAGGGCACTAAAAGAGCACTCAAAAATGGGGGAGGGTCAAATCTAACCAGCACCCGATGACATTAACAGAGGCTTGTACATGATATAGACTTGTAAAGCTGTTTTACCAGGTTTTTTTTGTTTTTTTTTTTAGTTTAGGGTTGCCATTTCACCAGTATCAAAGTTAACTCACCTTTGACGTTCCTTTTGTTGAGAAGTACAATCCTGACCGTCTTAAAAACACATACAGTTTCTTCCATGATTTCCTGCCCATTTCTTTCACATACAAATATCCCTGGATCTCAGGACAACTCCTGGAGTTTAAAAAGTTCTGGAGGAAAAAGAAGAAAATAATTGAAAGTTCGATAAATCAAACAGTCAGCTAAGATTTGTGGTTTCCTTTCAGTGTGAACTATTCACCACTAGGTTTTAACAAAGGTCTGAATGTGCTAATAAACCAGTGATTAAAAGTAATATTTTCTAGACTGGATATCCAGGAAGGTTATGGGGGATACGGGGAAATAAGCTAAATCTGACAAAATGCATGTATATTTAGGGAAATGCTATTTTGTAAAAAAAAATAATAATAATATAATGTAAAATAATTAGTCAATTATTAAAAATAATTAATTGTGTGTGGCGTATCTTTGTTCACTAACAGTCGTCAGCTAGATATTAAGAGAGGGGTCTTATCAAGTAAAAAGTCAAAGATGTATGGGCTGATGTTAGATCAGGGGGTGATGGGAAAGAGAACACGTGTCTGTTGTACCTGCAGGAGCTGGGATGGGGGGATGGTCCCACTGGTCTCCTGACAAAAGGCAACCATTTGCTCTGGGAAGAAGTTCTGTCGAAAAACATGTTTTAGCTCAAGGTTGTATGATTTTAATTTATCTTTGTACTTTGTCAGAATAGTCATTCCCAGCTAAATCCTTATCCTCTAAACACAGTCCATTAAACTAAATATATAGTCCATTTAGTCTAAAATACACAGCCATACGAATTCAATGTTATATAACTCTTGTTAGTAGTATCATGCAAAGTTAATCCTTGAATAAATGCTCTGAAACACTACCCATAATGCTTATTAAATGAAAAAAAAGTCTACTACTACTACTAATAGTAATAATAATGCAAACTAACAATAAGAAATTCTGTGTGATTAAAGACATTCATCTGCTTGTGTAACATTTTGCCTCAGCACACAGAAAAATACAATCTTCAACAAAGAGAAAAAAAAGCCTGTCTTTAGTGGTTAAGGTGGATGAAAGAAAAGAGCAATTATTCGAAATTAGGTAATACTTTAGAATGGGGAACACTTATTCTCTATTAACTACGACTTTTCCCTCAAATAAATTCCTACTTTGCTGCTTATTAATAGTTAGTAAGGTAGTTGTTAAGTTTAGGTATTGGGTAGGATTAGGGATATAGAATAAGGTCATGTAGAATAAGGCATTAATATGTGCTTAATTACTACTAATACATTGCTAATATTCTAGTGATATGCATGCTAATAATCAACTAGTTAAGATACCCTAAAATAAAGTGTTACCCGAAATTATTCTAAAAGCTCATTGGTCCAAAAAACAACAAAACAATGAAGTATTATGTAATCTTTTAAAAACATAAGCCTGCCACTCATTGACTTTCTTCTAATGATTTTCTACCAGCACAAGGAATTTCAGGAAATTTAATACAAAGCTTTGCATAGCTCAGAAAAATAAATAAATAAAATACAATAAAATAATAACATATTAGTTACAGTGCACATAATTACTTCAAAGTTAGATGAAAATCATTGGTATAGCATTGTATATAACCTGAGCCATATTAAAAGATGAACTACAGTAAGATTAAACCAGATCCAAGTTTATCGGAATCCAGTACTCCAAGGAGCCACATGTAGCTGTTCAGGCCACATACTTAAATTCTTCTCAAATGGAAATACACATCATCATACAAATGGCAATCCCACAATCTACAAGTGACTGATCAATCACTGGGTTACAAACAATTTGGGGCAAACAGAAAATGTTGCTGACCAGCGTGAGAATCTTTACGAAAGTCACACTGTATCTGATTGTGTATTTAATACAATTTGTTTTTTATTCATTTTATGGAAGCACAGACACTTTGCTAAGTGCAAAAGGAATGCAATCTGATCAATCAAGGTGCATGAAGTGACTATGTGTAAATAGGCCCAAAGAAAGTGTTATCAAAGATTCTATAGTCAAGAGTGTACTTGTGTTACAGCAATTTAAAACAGTGCCAAGGGACAAACGAATTGTACGGTTAAAGCATAGATTTCCTTCTCCAGCTGAATTTACAAGAGGACTGAATGTTTGTGAAAGTGTTTGATTACCAGCCCAAACAGTAAGAGGCATGGGTTTCTTTTGGATTGTGTGAGAGCAGCTCACTGAACTGGAATCATGTCACTTGATATCTGCATCTACCAAATAAGACTGAAAATAGTCCATTAATGTGAGGAGCTTTTCCTTTAGCGTTAATCCGTGTCACGTTATTTATGTACCTACTGACACCTGCACCCACACTAAGAGAAGGAAACATTTCTACATTCTATTGTAATCTACAATCATATTAACCTAATTATGAAATAGTTCAAGTGAGGTCTTGGATTAACTTACCAATGGATTTTTAAAGAATTCATATTTGGCATAGTTCTTCCTGAAGATAAATTTACTCTCACTGGTCATTGACGCCTGCACTTGGACAACCAGTTCATGGTCTTCTAAACATCTTTCTGTGGAATGATGGAGAAAAAAAAATCAGGTCAAAATGAGTCACATACACACTGTATTCACTTCAAAATCTGTATTAAACTTGTGAAAAGATCTGTGTTTATAGACATATGACAAAAATGCATCTTTGTAACCAAAACGTGGTGTAATATTTGCATCTTGAATGACATCATTGTCGGTTAGCATTCATGCAGGCAGACAAAAAATAAACAGGGTGAGCATTCCCTGCCTGATGAAAAGAGCGTTTGTCTGGAGGAGATAACCCCCCTGCACACCACCTCTCTCTCCCCATCTCCCATTCAGCTTTACCAGTACAGGGACTTACTGACTTTAAAAAACCCTCCATGTGATCTGTGCATAAATTGATCTCTATTTAGTTTTCCTGTCTTTCTCACAATCTCTCTCCTACCGGTCTGAATGATGGTGTAGCTAATGCTGCCCATGAACGCTCAAACAAATAACTCTAAACCCTTACATGGACATGTTCTTCATTCAACTGTGGAACCGTTCAGAGTGCTTGTCTGGCAACAGGAAACTATAGGGGGATAAGTTCCACCAACCCCACAAACATCCTCAAGTGGCGATCACACTTTTCCATTTTTCATTCCATTTACTTCCATTAATTTGCATTCGAATATGGAAGACAGGAAAAGCAAACTCATGCAAATTTTGCTGCGTTCCAGAGTTCAAGTTTGGTGAGCTCTGCCCTGCAAATCTGTATCACGTGAAGACGTGTAACCAATAGAAGATTCATATATCACAATGTGACCTCTTACACAGTGCTTAATTTGTAAATGAATAATTGCCGGATCCAAAACAGCAATTAAAACATTGAACTGTGACTGACATTGAAAATACAACTTAAGTTTTCCCGGAATATTCAATGATGTCACTAAACTAAGAGAGCATCGTTCACAAGTTTCTGCATTAACCTAACTAGGGCACAGCTTCAAACCCTGGATCAAAAATGAGTTGCCAGGATGATTTTAGGAAAATGCATATCTAAGATACATTAAAAATAAAATTAAATCATAGTATAGGTATAAATATGCAAAAAATATCTGACTTTTTTAATTAAACGCGTATCCTTGCTTTATTTTACAAAATCACAAATGTTCTGTTGTTATTTTGAGTGTGCAAAAATAAAAGTGCTTTCGAATTATGTCTCACTCTTATCTGTATGATTAAAAATTATGTATTTTATGTTTCAGCTGTTCGATCGCGCCGGCGCCTCGTGGGCTCACACACACACACACAAACCACATATTCGCAACTCAAACTTGACATCGCAGTCTGTTCATTATCAAAATAAAATACAGTCAACCAGAAAAAGGTTACACTGGTCAATTTAAATAGTCCGTGGTATAACTGGTCCAATTTGTATGCCAAGCACATTTTTGCTCATGTGAAGAGGATATTTCTGTCGATATACGAACGCGCGTGAAGTACAAAGCCTCTACATTATTAATAATAGTTTAATTCAAATATCCGCCATGGCACCCCGAACGGGTACCGCTCTGGAGGCCCACTGTCCCGTGTCTGTCCTGAGGGACCTCCAGAGTGCCCACCCCCCCTCCCCATTGGATGTTATATGGCGTGAGGACACGCCTTCCGGAGGGGGACGTTATGTCAGACTCTGTTCCATGTTTTGTTTGTGTCTTGCTCCCCAGGTGTTCCTTTCCCATGTGTAATTTGTCCCAGGTGTTCCCCATGATGGTTCATTGATCCCAGGTGTGTCTCGTCGTCCCCTCCTCCTGTGTGTATTTAAAGTGTTCCCAGTCCCTAGTTCTCTGTCCGCTGTTGGAACGTCTTCGTGTGAACGTCTTCCTGTGAATGTCTTCCTGTGTTCGTCTCCCTTGGTTCATGCAAATAAAGTCCTGTCAACATATTCTCCAGCGTCTCCTCGTCCCTCGTGTGTGTGCAACGTGACAGTACTTTCAGTTTTGCTTTGTTTTGGTTTCTTTAGGTTTATATATTTTTCATTCTTGTTCTGTTCTGAATACCATTACATTTATATGATTTGTTTTGGAGTGAGCTATACTAATGTATAGTTTATAGTGTTTATATAGTGTTTATACATTATTACAGTCTCTCCAAATTTTCTGCTGCTCACAAAACAATAAGCAGTAAGCACCAATCAATGAGAGCGAGTTCGAACTTAAGCAAGCTGACTGGTCACAGTCAAAAATATGTTGAGGCCTGTTAGATTTTTGTGTGTTACATAGAGAATTGTGTGTTGTGTTTTGCAAAAAGTGTTTAATGAAATTGAGAACTCAAAGGTCAAAGGCCGAGAATTAGTGTATGGTTTTGCAGATTTGCTGTGTGGTTCTGGAGTTTGAGTGTCAGGTTTCAGAAATTGTGTGACAAGTAAAGATTGTTTTGGAGTGAGGGGAACTAGGCTATGATTATAGTGTTTATAATGTTTATACATTATAATATTTCACTTTATTTGGTATTATTTCTGGTATTATTACACTCTCTCCAAACGTTCTGCTGCTCACAAAACAATAAGCAGTAAGCACCAATCAATGAGAGCGAGTTTAAACTTAAGAAAGCTGACTGGTCACAGTCAAAAATATGTTGAGGACCAATACATAACCTCCAAATACATAAACCTGCTCTCGCTCTCATATGCATGCACGCACTGTCACGATGTAACGCCGGATCCTTAAAAACAATTACCGGAATGCAAAAATCCAAAATCTGACATTTTCCGGAACAGGATCCGGAAGGATCTGGCTCAAATTAAGCACTGCTCTTACAGTTTTTTTTTTTTTTTTTTTTTTTTTTATCTTACACACATTTTCAAAACTTT